TCAAATATTCAAACTCAGTTCCTTCCGATTCCAAAACCTATGTTCTAAAACCGGTGGTTCTTGGGGCTGGCCTGGTGGCCAAGTGGTTAGGTTTGCGTGCTCTGCTTGGGCGGCCCAGGGTTTCACTGGTTCGGATCCTGGGCGCAGACTCAGCAGCACTCATCAGGCCATGCTGAGGTGGCGTCCCACATGTCACAACCAGAAGGACCTACAACTAGAATATTCAACTGTGTATGGGGAGCTTTGGAGAGAAAAAGAAGAAGAAAAAGAAGAAAAAAAAGAAGATTGGCAACAGATGTTAGCCAGGTGCCAATCTTAAAAAAAAACCTCAGTTAAAACCAGTGGTTCTCGAACTTGAGCCATGCATCTGAGTCGCCTGGAGAGCTGGTCAAAAACAAACGGCTGGGCCCACCCGCAGAGGTTCTGATCTGCCAGGTCTTTGGTGAGGCCTGAGGACTTGCATTTGTACTAAGTGTCTGGGCGATGCCATCTCTGCCAGTCCTGGGACAGCACTATGAGAACCACAGATCTAAATCATTAATGCAAATTTAGTTTCTTTCTTAATTGGAAAAGGCTACAGCAGAGCTCCAGGACTCCGGGATCTGCACTAGTGCCAGCACACAGGCTTGAGCAACGTGGCCAGCCCTCAGCCCTCGGGCAGCAAGGAGGCGCCGCTCGCCACCACTCTGGAGAACTCTGGAGGGATCCAGGCAGGCAGACGGGCAGTGCAGGAGAGTGGCACAGCAGAAGACCGTCTGCATAAATGAGATGGGTGTTAATCTGAGAGAGTTAGGGAGGGAGGAAGGCAGCTGAGAGAGGCCGACAGGTGAGAGGGGCCTGCGAGGGCGCTGGCCGGTCAGATAGAGCCCCGGCCACCCAGGTGCACACGGGGATGCCAGTACCTCTGGTCGGGATTTGGTTTTCCCTTCTTCCTCATGTTATTTGCAGTGGTTTCGCTGAAGTGTAACCGGCCCAGTGTTACTTTGGTGACCTGGTCAGCCAGCAGGTCGACTCTAAAACAAACAGCAGAAATACTGAGAGACTGAGGGAAAACGAAGTCTTTGATCACATTGGACGGGTTCCTAGACCCTCAAGTACGTGTCCTGCCCTGCTCTCAACACACTGCAAGGACCGTTGATTCCAGTCACTGGGCTCTAACAAATACCCCCAGCGCGGTCAGGAACGGCTGCCGGGGAGGCCACGGAAGGACACTGGAAATGCTCATCCAGCAGGAGCTCAAGCCCAGCGTTTCTGACTTGTAAGGGCCGTGTGCTCCCCACACCATGAACAGATTTTCTCATCTCCACAACGGGAGAAAAGACATGGTTCTTTGTGCCTCTGCCGTGGTGACTACAGTGCTGGCCTCTGACAGCCATTTCTCTAGGTTCCTGGTGAATTCCTTCGTGTCCCTTTCTGCATCCGCCTTCTTCTGGCCCAGCTGCGGGAGGTGGCCACACCCCGGCTGCCAGACAGGGAGGACCAGACACCTCAGGCAAGCTTAGCGCCATGTCTGGACAGTGGCTCCCGCTCCAGCGTCAGGCTGAGCTGCTGCCTGGTCTGTCCAGGCTGTAGGACCATCTTCTTCCCAGCCCAAATGGGGTTGACTCAGGGTCATTACACTGAGCCAGCTCACTGCATCCCAGGCAAATCCGTCAAAAAGCAAACTCCACTCCAGGTCACTCTACAGGGTGGATGCTCGCTGTGGACTGCCATATTGCTTTGTACAATCCCAGCCCTGCAGGCTTTCTATCTTGGAACCCATTAGGCAATCTACCAACAGAGCTTTAAAAAACAAGAAAAAAATGAACTGCAAGCACAGCATGGATCCAGAACCTTGACGTTAATTCAATCAGCATCATGCTGATTTAAATGAAAAATTAGAAGAAAGGTCTAGCTATGGTCTATCTCAGAGAACCAAAGTTGTTAGCAAGGTTATCAGTAATAAATGATTATAATATAATATAATGATGACTTTAAAGATGGAGCTTTTAATAAGGAATTTTTTGCAATTATTTCAATGCATTTTACCTACTTCATTTTTGCTGAAAAGTACCTGTTCATAACATTAACACATTATTACTAATTTAGTTTCTACAGTGGGGTTCACTTTAAACAAGCAAAATAAATTAGACAAAAGATGTTCTTCCCAAAACATTCACAAAGCAAGTGAGAACAGAAATTCTTACTTAACAGGATTGAAAATCTTCTTGCTTCTGTCTGCTTGGGACTGTTCAATAGCGATTATTTGATTGGTGGCTTCTACCTGTGTGGAACAACAAAAAGTAAATGAATTACTTAATAAATTAACTAGCTTATTAACAAAAAATGTTCAGTAGTAAATAATCTTCAAGTACTCAGAAAGTTTTCCGAGGATCATGCTAGGCACTGGGCCGAGGGACAAGTCACTGAAAAGATGTATAAGAAAATGGCCCCACCTTAAAGCAGCGTGTGACTGGTGAGAAAAGAAACAAATTCCTGTAAAACTAGCAACAGGAACACCAGACAACCGAGTATTTCAGGAAAGCAGTGACCACAGAGTGGGCTCATAGTGGACCGGGTAAAACACAGGAGCAAAGCAGCTCAGACGATACACGCATTCATTCATTCGTTCGTTGGTTCGCTCGTTCCATAAACACCTGTTGAGCACCTGCCGTGCACCAGGCATTGCCCGAGGCATTAGAGATGAGAAGTAGACAAAACTAAGAAATCCCTGCCATTGCAAAGCTTACATTCTAATGAGAAAAAACAACAACAAACACCAAGAATAAATAAAATATAGGAAGTGATATTTATTCAGTGCAGTCCTATACCACGTAACAATGTTTTGGTCAACAACAGACCACACACATGACAGTGGTCCCAGCAGATTAGCACCACGTAGCCTGGGTGTGTAGGAGGCTGTGCCCTCTGGGTTTGTGGAAGTCCACTCTACGATGTTCACACAACGATGAAACTGCCGAACATGCCCTTCTCAGGAGGCATCCCCATCGTTAAGTGAGGCATGACTCTTCTTGCTACAAACTCTTCTTGTCGTTAGTAAATAGTGGCAACGACATGGTGACACCTGCCCTGTCATGGACAGCTTGTGGGTTATTCACATTGTAATGATCTTTCTGGAAAGCAACTGGACAGCCTACATGGAGAGCTGTAATACTGTTCATAACTCCGATGTGCAAACTCCTCTTCTGGAATTTATCTTCACGCAAAGTTGGGCACACACGGACACGCACTGCAGTTTTGCTGACGTAGAGTTTTACTTACAACTACTTACAATAACACGGGAATTAACGTGTTGCATCCATACAACGGAAAACTACATCATCTTCGTAAACAATATTTTATAGCTTCTTTAATAATATCGTATGTTGTTATTTCCACAATATACTATTAACAATATGAGATTAATTTTAACAATAGAAAAAAACAAAGAAAAATTAGGTTACTAAATGGTGGGTCCCAAATATGAATGAATTTTGTCTCTTCTTCTTAATTTTATATTGTGTTCCAAAATTTTCACAACAGACTCATATTACTTCCATAACCAGAAAAATAAGTTCATTGGTTTTTTTTATTTGTTTTTGCTTTGTTTTGTTTTTGTTTAAGAGCTCAGTTTGGAGCAAGAGTCTGCGGTGTTCAGTGGTCAGGCCCCATTTGGGAGGCTCAATGCCGAAACCCAGAGTAAATCTCGAGTAAGATATGCAGATAACAGACGTTCCTCCCCAAGGAGCTGGAGCTGAGGTGACAATTTAACAAGAACTGCTGACCCCTCAGAAGTCATCCTTCCCTCGTGTGAAGCCCAGCTCTGTAATTTACTCTCTGGATGGACCGTGCATCATGCTGGGCCTCAGTCCCCCTTGTTAAACCAGACGAGAGAGGCATTGACTGGATTAGTGGCTCCCTGGCTGTTTTAAGTCAGGAAGCTCTTTGAGAATTTGATGAAAACTACGAACTTACTCCATGTGAAAATGCACCAGCACTGAAAAGTATAAAATAATTAAGACGACATTTAGTAAAAGAAGTGCGAGATTAACACACTGGAAACCATAGAATTGCAGTTGGAAGTGACACTGTGCCAGTTTCTGAGGCCAGGCTTAAGAAATTGGCAGCTTCCACTTCCTCTGTCTTGGGACGTTTCTTCTCAGCGCTCATCCACCATGCCATGAGGAATCACAAGCTGTCGCCCAGGGGGGCCACACGGAGAAGAGCCAGGCCCCCGGCCACGGCACAAACTTGACAGGCGAGTGAGCTATCCCGGAACTGGATGCAGGCCCAGTGGAGCTCCCCCGTGGTCTGTCGCAGCCACAGCCAGGCCGCAGGTGTGTGACCCAAATAAACGACTGCTATTATTCTAAGTTCCTAGGTTTGGGGATCGCTTGTCATGCAGCAACAGACAACAGGAACACTTCATAAATGTTGGCTTAGTCAAACTGAACTAAATAAAAGGCTTACCTTAACCCCAAAAGCTTTCAAGTAAAACATTTCTATTGGCTTTAGGCCCATTTGGGTTTTGACAAACTGTGGACTGCCCCAGACTTGGATATGGATGGTTAGCTGAAAATGGTTCTTCTTTTGGCAAACAAAAGCTTCATCTGCTGGTGAGAAATTAAATCCTTTGTCTGTGACAACTTGATAGCCTATATCAGGTCTGTGAAAAGAGGAATCAAGAAACCAATTTAACAAATACTGTTTATATATTTTCTTTCATTAACAATATTAATTAAATAAACATTTCAAGAAAATATATTATGGAAAGTTCCTTTGGCTACATTTAATCAAACGACTTCATGAATTTTTACTGGGGAAATGAAAATATTTCAAAACACAGCTGGCTCTCTCACAGTTTTTTATCTTCTCACGAGGAAAAGGCACAGTTCTTGCCAAATGAAGCCTTGGCTCCTCAGCCTGCCTTCTCCCTCTGCTTTCTAGCCTTCTGATCTGACTCCACTGTGCAAGAGAAAGACGTCAGCTAGAAGTTGAGAAGTCACATTACTCAGTTGTGAAATATCTGGGATAGAATTCATCTACTTCTTCCTTTAAAAAAAGTCTCGAAATTTCATCAGCAACACACAAAGAGTTACTTGAATGAATAGTCGGCTGATTGTGGTCATGTGAGGAGAGCAGGCTGATCAGAATTACCAGGAACAGCTTTAAACCAGATCAGCCAGAGCCAGCCATACTACTGACTGACAGCCCAGTGACGGACGAGAGTGTGGTCACTCGCTGTTGTCCTCCCAATCTGGTCACGGCACTGAGACCTAGCTGGCTGCTTTTGCACAAAGGAACAGGAGGTTGGTGGGGTGGCTAATCCGTCTTTTGCCTTATGTGTATTATCAAATCATTTTAATAGCAATGTTTTGTGTGTTACATGTTTAATAAATACTTTTAAAGGTCAGTAAAAATAAAACATTAAATGCGTAACAGTATCAAGTAGAGAAGAGAATACAAAAGTTGAAAACTGCTTTGGTGAGTTTTTCCCATACACATTGTAGATATGGAACATGATTTTCAATTCCTCAGAGTCCTTAAATGTGGGTTTTCCTTCCCAGGACCACACGTGGACGAGGGCAGCACTTACTCTCTGCTGCTCTGGATCTTTGCTTCCTGGCCTCTCAGTTTGGACAGCTGCCACTTAATGAACAACTTGGAGTCTCTAAATTTTTCTCTAATTCCAGAAACAGAAAATATGAAAGGGTGTCTTGGGAAAAGAGTGTTCATGACTTTGCAAGTTAAGCACTTTCCCAATGGATCAAGTAGTGGGTCATTGATTACTCTCAAGTAGCTGATGGGTCAAAGGCTCGGCAGCCACAATGCCCCCAGCAGCAACTGGAAAATCCATCAAATGAAGAATTCAAGAAGGACCACATGTCTTACACCACCTGGGATGTATATTGACTCAGGTTGCTAGAACTAATCTGCTAAGTTACTCATCTAAAGGCTAGATGAATTGAGTACAGATTTTACTACAGAGATTATTAAGAGCTGTCTTGGTTGCGAAAAAGGAAACATCTTTTTGCAACCTTCCACGTTTCACTGTCAAAAACTCTGAAGGAAGAAGGTAAGGTTTACGGCTCACGTACGAGCTTAGCCTGGAATTTCAGGACAGCTGGAAGCAGAAACTGAATCAGTCAACAATTACACTGGTGGAGTTTGTTCTGAATCTTAAATGCCAATCTCTGGTTATGGAAATTTGTTTACCTACGAAAAGCAATTCTGTTTAACATCAAAAGTTAATTATGAAGTCAACTAAACTGTTTTTTTTAAAGCTCTTGTTAACACAGTTTTAAATATCATTCAGAAAAAAAAGATTTGATAAATTTTCAATCCCATAACTTTACTGCTTTTAGGTAACGTAGGGAAACTATTTTTGTAACAAATTAGACATAATAATCTAAGAAGAGACAAGTGATTTTCTATCTCAATATGAATAGTGAAATCAAGGCAGCTTGAATTCTAATCCAGGTGAATACTGCCGCCTACTTTGCTTAAGAAAAGTGAATGATTGCTAAGCATTCAAAAATAAATCTGCCTCTACACCTTTAAGTTGACACCATCCTGTTCTCTTTTTCTTCCAGATCAGTGGAGCAGAGATTGGCTGTTCAAATAAACTTTAAAAAAAATAACCTACTCAAGTAGGAAGAGAACAGTTACTTTGGGAACTCGGTCGACTCAGACGCAGAGGCTGCGAAGCATTAAAGGCTTCAGTTAAAATATTGTGCGTGTGTGACGTGTTGAACCCTTGGTACCTATGTTAAGATGGAACACGGAACACTCCCCAAAGATAATCAAATGAGGTCTCAGAGTGAAAACCGTGACATGTGGACCCATCCTTTCTTTTTCTGATTGCACACAGTGGCAAAGACACAAAGTTGTGACATTTCAAGGATACAATGAGCAGTTTGCTTCCTTCTGCTTCCTGTTAAACGCACCAACTCCCAAAGTCTGTTTAACTCCTTGGATTTTGTTTTAAGGAAAAGATGTCTTCCTTCTAGTTCATCCAACATAAAAGTCCTAGTGATAAGTTTTGCTCTAAAAGAAGCTATATTTGAATTGGGAAAGTACCAGAAAGGCCCTCAAGTTTGTAGCCCAACATTTCTCATTTAATATTATATTTATTACTTGAAAATCCTATTCTTTAACCATTAGCATTTTTTTAGTATTTCAAGAAGGCATCTATAATCAATGAAAATTCTAGAACACTTAAGGAGATAAATTACATCCTAATGAAGAAAGAGAAAGTTCAGAGGATGTTCAAGAGCAGTAATGCACAAATCCAGCTCCAGCTCCTGCAACTACAACGTGCTAAGAACGGGATGGAACTTTTCCGGTTTAAGGGTATTTTGCACGGCCTGATTTCAGTCTGCCAATGCAAAGCCACCATCGACCACGGCTGCTACGGGTATGTTGACAACGGACCCAACAACACTCGGTGCAGCACGGATGGTGGGGGAGGGGGCGTCACTAGCTAACAATTCAGTGTGGCCTAAAAAAAATAAATCTATAGGATTTAAAATTAACTGCAGGATTAAATGTCAGCGATTTGGGAAATCTCCAAATTCCGGCTTTTGGTTTAAACTGGGCATGTGATCTCAGAAAGATGCCCTCTCCCTCCACCATTTAGTGGGCAGATTGTAAGTTAGAATTACAGATCTGATTCCTGAAACCCTTCATTAGTTAGAATGCAAAACATAAGGAGTAAGACATACTCCTCGCTGACCCACCCCACTTGGTCAGGGTGGCGTCAAAGCCCCAATACCTGGGTTTAGTCTTGAGAGTTAGCGAAGCCTTCCTCCTCTCGCCCCCGCCCACCACAAGGTTCCTAAGGCCACTCACAGTTTCTCGTAACGACTGTTTAATAAACTATGCCAAGGAACACTTCGGTACGGCTGCCACTTCAGAGCAGGAGCGCACTGGTCCTCGGGCATCACCTTCTGCCCCTCATTGTCACCGTCTTGAGCTTTGCTGCTGTAACTCCTACTTGTCACTGCAAAGAATAAGTGTATTAGATCCTTCCTCCAAAGTTGTTTCTCCTAGACTCACAGACAGCTGCAGGGAGCAAAGAACAGGCCTTGTCAGAGGCAGAGTGACCGTGGGGAAGGTGACAGGTGTTGGGAGGCGGGAGGTATGTGGCTGGCCCTGTTTCCTCATCTGTAGCAAGGGCAGTTTAGGGCAGTGTGGGCCCTTGTTGGACACTCTGCCTCAGCATCTATCCACCCTGCTTCCTCACTTCCAGGCTGGGTGGTTCCAGCGATGTCCACTCCCATCTGGAGGAGGGCAGGAGCCCGGGCTTGACCCATCAAAGTACGGCATTCACTACTCGCATCAATAATCACACCAGGTGGACACATGGCCTAATCCAGTCCAAGCAGAGCAGACCCCAGCGCTTCAGGGAACGCGGGTTCAAAGACGCTGACTCTCCTCCATGAGGGCTGAACCTGCGAGATCCATGCCCTAGAGCTGCTGGCACCATTTAGGGTCATGCGGGAAAAGCGGTCTGGAAAGGAAGCCAGCACGGCAGAAGGCAGAGTTGAGAAAGGAGGGCGCCCAGTGCTGGTGGCGTGCTTTGAGTTCTGGGATCCAATCCTAAACCCTTGGGTTACAGAAGCCAACAAACCCCCTGGTTTGTTTTTTCATTTTGTTTGTATTTGGCTTATGGCAGTTTGAGGTTTTGGGGTTTGTCCTTTGTTTCTTTGTTTTTGTTAATTGCAACCAATCCAGTCTAGTTTGTCACAGGTCTCTGTGGCACCAGGATTCTGAGGTCCAACTTTCTGAACTTAGATGAGTTACTCACTCGCTTAGCGTCTTACTTCCCTCATTTGCAGAACAGAAATGAGAACAGGGGTCCTGGCCATCTTGCAACATTAACCAGCAGAGAGAATACCGCAGCGCGAGTCCGGGCACTGTCAGAAGCTCACGCCAAGAGAAAGCAGCAGAAAGCATCTTCTCCGAATGTAGTATTGACTACAAGAAATTGCTACTTTCGTATGTCAAAAATGGCCAAATAACAGCAGTTTCACATGTGCAAACTACTATTTTTGCATAATCCTTGCAAGTTGTTTGTCTTAATTTGAGACAAACTGTACCATCAACCGCAGGCGATTTTTATGTAAATTCCGGTCCGTCTGCTGTCTCCTTTTCTTTTAGCTCTGCACCCCCTCACTCACGCCTGCCACCAGGAGGGCAGGGGAGTAGCGGCGTGCATGAGACCCGAAGGCCGTGGGCAGCAATGTGACAGAATATACAAAACACCCACCCTCACTCCTGCACGTGCACTCAGCCCTCACGGGAACACAGGGGCCACTGGGTTTTCTTTCCCTCATCTCACTTCCTCCCTTCACACGTTTACTGAGGACTTCCTAAAACAAATAAATAACAGAGCTCCTGCAGGTCGCTTGTGATGTCAAATGTCACAGAAAATGTTTTTCTTGGGCTGTCACTATTACATGGCCCCTATGCAAAACATCTATTTTTCAGTTTTTGTCAACAACCATTTTGGAAAGATTTCTCAAAATCCTGAAAAACTTTTCCCAGTTAAGAATACAGGAGGTCAGCAATGCAAGGAGCACTTCACACCCTCACTGCTCCAAAAGTTACCCGGCCTAAAAACTTTTCAAGAAGACAAAAACCCTTCCATGGTTCTCCTGCTTACACCAAATTCAGAGAACGGAAGACGCCCCTTCAGCCTTCGCTGCCTCTCTCCACAATGGGGAGGGGAAGGAAGTGCAAGAGCTTGGAGTGTGGAACCAGATGGACTTGGGTTTGCATCACAGCCTTATCCTTAATGGCGACACAATCTTAGGAAAAGGGTTGAAGGTCTCTGGGCTTCAGTTTCTCCATCTGCAGAATGGGAGTAACCATATGCTGCCCCCCAGGACTGTGAGTACTTAGCACAGGGTCTGCCACCCGGAACAGTTTAAACAATGGTGTCTTTATTAGTGTTGGTGGCACTGTCATTATCACATGTGTTTGTTTCAGCTCAGGTGACTCAGTTATTCCTAAGAAGTCTGGCAAACACTTGTGTTCTTGGCTTCCATGGTAACTGTATCTGATGTAAAATAACTAATGCACGGCCACCAGCTCACCCGGGCCCTTTCCTATTTGAGCGTGGTGGCAGCAAGGTCAAGGTGCCAGGAGAGCCAGTCAAAGGCCAGCTCCACTCCTCTAGGTGCTGGTAGGGAGGGTGGGCAGGGGGCATTGTCCTCAAGGATAAGGCTTTTTCTGCCCTTTCCATCACAGCAGCAAGGGTGTCAGGCAGCCACTCCAACAGCATTGACATAGTCGTGGCTTCCCTGGGAGCTGGCCATGAGCTGGTGGACCAGGGATGGGAATCTGGGATGACAAGCCCACACTGAGATCCCAGGCACAAGCCTGTAGGAGGACATGTCATCATTAATACTACCACTGCTGTCTAGTTCTCCTGTGTGCTCTCTGCACCAAGCACTATCTCAGACACTTGATGTGGTTTCTCATCAACTCATTAACTCATCGTCAAGGTAAGGATCCTGTTTTTCAATGAACTTTCTTTACTGCAGTGTAATGCACATGAAGAGTAGTATATAGATCATTAGCACACAGTCTGATGCTTTCTTATAAGATGAATTATCCTGGGCAACTATCACCAGCTCAAAGAACAGGACACTGCCAGCACTCCAGTGGACAGCTCCTGCCCAGGAAGAATCCCTGCTCTGAACTCTAACACCACACAGGAGTCTGGAGAAATGGAGCAATACAATATGTACTCTGTGTGTTGGCTTCTTTTGCCCAATAGTATGTTTATGAGGTTCGCTCATTATTGTTGCACGTGGCGCCATTTGTCCACTTTCACTGCTGCACAGTCTCCATTGCATGAATACGCCACAGTTGATCCTGCCCTCGACGGCCACTTGGGTTACTTTCAGTTGGTGGTCATTGTAAGTAATGCTACTACAGACAACTCTGTGCGTGTCTCAGTGGGCCTGTGCACACGTTTCTGTTAGCTATATTCCTAGGAGGGGAATCACTGGGTCATAGGAGGTGTTTTAGTAGATGCAGCCAAACAGATTTATATAAATTGCCTATGAGGTAAGGATTCTTAATCTCATTCAACAAATGCGGAAACTGGCATTCCAAGACTGGAAATGGCCTGCCCAGCGTCGCAGCCGCCAAGTGAGAGACAGAACTCAAACCTTCCTCTTCCTTTCACGCTACACTGAGGGTTTCTCCAGAAAAGGTAACAGGAGAGAGAAGCAGACGTGTCAAGGCAGCAGATCACCCGGTCCCAATCTTTTGGAGAAAATCATAGACTCTTTTTCAATATTTTCTTACACATTACCGTTAAAAAATCTTGGAAATGGGTAAAGTAGAAATTAGGATTCTCATTTGATAATCAAGAAAAGTCAGGCTCGAACAGTCCCCAACTGCTGGTGAGATGAGAAGATACTGTTTCTGACTGTACAGCGTGACTTCAGCCCCTGTGCCTCCCCCTGGGGGCCAAAGGTCACAACTCTGGGGCTGAAAAACTCTGGTGTTTGAGGTTCAAACCACAAGGCCAAGAACCCTCTCGTATTTGGAGTCTGACCATGTGGGTCCAGAACCAGCGAGCAGGAGGCGTCCATCAGCTGCTTTCTCTCTAAGTAAGATTTTACAGCTGCCCACAGCAACCCAGCAAGTCCACACTGTGAGCCCACGAGTGGGGGTCTTGGAACGCTTGGCCAGAGTGGACCGCTTGGGACAGGTCACCAGAAAGGCCTTCCTGATGGATTTAGAGCATCTTCTCCCACCAGGGATCCTGCACAAGCTCCTCCTTCCTCTGGGCATGTCATTCCCCGACCTTTGTAAAACCCTGTGGCCGCTGTAACATCACGTATGAATCTCCGCTAGAAAACTTCCGCTGAGAATATGAACTCTAAGGAAAACACGGCATTTGGATTAACTAAGTTTTTGCCCTTTTTTGCCCTGGGAACCTGCTTGTTTTCACTCTGGAACAGTTGTCTGGAGCCAGTTACCATCCGTCGGTCAGCTCTCGGCGCCCTCGGAATGGGATTTAAGAGGGATTCTAGGTTTCCTGTCAGTTGGGACACCTTGCCACTCCTCCCTGGCTGTTCTCTGGACGTGGGGGAACCAGTGCCCCCTCCAGCGACAGGGCAGAACCACCCCAGAGGAGCTGAACTCTGGAGCAGCCCGAGAGTCTGATGAGGAACACCTGGGAGCTCTGGGCGGCCTGCCCGGGACGCTTGGCGCGCCGGCGCATCCGTGCGAGAGTGGCCAGGCAGCTCCCTCCTCTGGCTGGGAGTCTACTCAGCCTTTTGTGTCTGAGAATCGTAAAGAAGCTGCAGGCTGGGTGCAAGGATCCCTGAAGACATTGGAATAACCTCGCAAGGAAGGTGGATGGAGAGCTCGATGTCATCTGGAAAGGGGCTTCAATTAGCATTTTGTGTTTCTAGGCTTGAATAAGATAAATCAAGCAACTGCTGGCCACGGGGGTCCATGCAAAAGGAAAGCAGGCCCTGAGAGTTCCAGTTTCTACCAGGGCCGGACGCCCAGTGCAGTTCTGCCAAGCTCTCCCAGGGATGGTGGTGTGTGGGGCGTGGCTGAGAGGGTGAAGTCATTGTCCACTGAAGGACCCACAGACCCTGCTGGAGCTGAGGCCACATGTCCTTGAAGGGAGCAGCAGTCCCCAGGGGCACAGAGGACCAGTTCTTACCATGCAGCTGCGAAAAGCAAAGACTGCAACTCAAGCAGAAGAGAGAGACACATGCATCTCCTTCCGGGGCAGCATAAGCTTCTGGAGTCTGGGGACAACAGTGGGAGGGAGTCCAAAGGAAATCTTGGACTTCTTGCCAAGCTGATGCATGAGAATAAAAGACTTGGTCCCTGAATTTGGGGTGCTGTTCACACTGCCTACGTTGGATCACGGACAGTGGCTATAGATTCAGCATGGAGCATCATCCTTTTTCCCTAAAAAGTGCCATAGCATTTACTCTGAAAATTCTAAAGTTCAAGACCTCAGACTCAAAAGACCTAATTTGTTCTCAACTGGATCAAGTCTCTAAGCTGGAAATGTGATGTGTCACATGTTATATAAGACAAAGAGCAAGATAGCATCAGATGATCGTGCTACTAGACTTCTAAACGATTTTACAACATTTCAAAGATCTACTGGGAACCTGCTATCTGAAGTGAGTACCAGGGCAGCCCAGCTTTCTCCCCGCCTGCTCCACTGGAGAAATCCTCCCAAGTCTTGCTTCTCGGAGAACCTTCCCGAGCCAGCAGCATCAGCACCACCTGAGAGCTTGTGAGGAATGCAGACTCTCAGACCCCCCTCAGGCTTACTGAATCAGAATCTGCATTTTCCCAAGATCCCCAGGTGTGCACATTACGATTAAGAAGGAACTAAGCAGTGAGCACAGCAGCAGGCTCCCGGAGGTGCTGCCACGTTACACAGCCTCCCCAACCCGGGGCCGGGGTCCTCTGAGATACGTTGCCCCTGGAACTGGAAGGACCGGTGATTCGTCTCCACCAGAGGGAGAGGGTGGCATCTCTTCTGGGAGCTCCAGTACAACCCCACCCCAGGCTGCATGAAACATCACGTCAAAAGGGAAGAAAGAAACTCCCAGAGCCTGTCGCTGCCCTTCTAGCAGACAGAAAATACTTTTATAGGACGGCTCCAAGGCTGGTAAAAGACCCTGATTTCATGGCCAGGGCAGCAACAGGCCCCGGGTTGGCTCACGTGGTCTGGAGAGCTGGGCCCACACCCGGCCGTCCCTGGGGTCCTCCAGCACCTGCGGGCACTTTCTCTTCTTGGCTGGTGGCAAGGAGGCTCTGAAAGCAAGAAACCAAAGTGAAAGTGAGGGCTCTCTTTCTCTCCATGTTACATTAAATCTAATTTAATTCTCTGCTCTCTGCCTCCCTCAGACTAATTCTAGTTAAAGTTCCTTGGGTCCCTTCTAGTCTGCAGTACCAGGTCCATGCATGGAGCAGATGGAACAGGTCCCTATTCCCAGAGCCCAACTGGTCTGAAACTTCGTTCTCCTCTACCCAGCGGATCTGAGATTCAGCTGCTTGGAAAATAACACGACCGTGTTTTCAAAGGCAGAGGACTCACTGGGACAGAGGAGATACAGACTCAAAACACATGCATACATTTCACACCTGCACATTTTTTCCTGTGGAATTTCACCACAAGTTTTGATGGTCTTTACTCTTTCTGCCACCCTCTAGATCCAGACAGAGGGATGAAAGACAAGAGAGGAAGGAAAAGAGAAGAAAAGAATGCTAGTTAAAGCTTAACTGACATATCTTCCTGAGAGCTCATCCACAAATTCCTTGTGCGGTCTAGCTGAGGCTGCCAATGCAAAGAGCGCTTCCCCATCGCCCAGCATCTCCCTATATGTTCCTGACATTTCAGCTTTCCACTGAACAAGGACCTTGGGTTTAGCCGGTTTTTAATTAAAAGATGGTCTAAAGCCAAGAGCAGGGGCCTTGGCAAGTCTGATCTACGTCTCAACACTGCCATCTCCTGGAGAGGACTCCAGTCTTCACTCTCCACTGGCCCCGAGGGGTGGCTGCTCGGAGATCCTCATAACTAAGGAACTGGCCCTTTACCTGGGGCTGTAGCTCAGAGGCTGCTGACGGTAAGAACAACTCATCCCCAGATGGGAGGGCACGGACTGGTCCAGGGGGGTCGGGAGGTGACTGGCGTCTGGGTAACAGGTGTGGAAGCTGCTGTGGATGCGGCCGGGGTCGCTCATTTCAGACGAGCCCTGGGGCAGGTGTGCGGGCAGCATCCCGGGTGCAGCTTCGGAGTGGTGAAGAGACGCTGGAGTCGCCCCGGCTGCAGGTCTCAGAGTGGGGCCGCACGCACCTGGGGGGACACACACTGAGAGGGGCCTCTCTTTCTCACCCCAGGGTTCAAGAAGAGGAGCAGCGTAACGTGAAGAAGGCAGATGCCACTCACCTCTGACCTGAGGAGGAGAGCAGGAGTCTGAGGCGGAGTAGGGTGGGGAGTCTGGGAGCTGGCGTGGCCTGAGGATTAGAGACGTGTGTTGCTTTTTTGTCGTAACCTGTTCCATCATTACATTTAGAGAGACGGCTGTGCACATGTTCGCTGCAGCACAGAGCTGCACGGAAGCCTCAGGTCCCCACGTGGGCTCAGGGAATCCCAAAGCTCCAGGAAGGAGCCCAGGAGTTTTACAAAAGATTTTTAAATGCTTGGGGAAAAAAATCATAATGTTTTTCCATTTTATATATTAAGGTGCAAGCAAAATTTCATCTTTAAAAAAAATGAGTACCACAACTAAAAAAGTGTGAAAGTGTCTCTTCCAAAAAACCTTCAAGTTCCTTACGGCGCAGAAACTGTGAGATACTAAGTCACACGTAAACACCACACCCTGCACTTTATTCTCTCGATGGACAGGAAGCTGTCATGTTTTTCTTGGTTGATTAAGATTTTAATCTTATACAATGATGAAAAAAGTCTGTTTTTATTATTTACTAGAAAAGATATGTTTTCTCTCAAATTGGTCCATTATAATTTATTCATTTCTTATTACTAAGGGAAGAGAGAACACACATTTACCTTCCTCCAAAAATCCCACTCAAAGGAAAGTAAAGAATAAAGAGGCATAAACACAAAAGGACACAGAGCATGTGAGCAGAGACCACAACAGACCATATTTCAAAAACACATGGTAGACAGAAATAGGATTGAGCAAAATGAACTAGCAAAATGGAAAAAACAAAAACAGGACTTCTTGGGGATGGCAGAGGGGACGTAGGAGCCAACAAGAGGTTATCCAATTCAAATACACTCCAGAAAAGTCCAGGGCCTTGGCGTCACCAGGAGCCTCTGAATCCAGGGGTAAGGCGGGGCTAAAAACAAAAGAATTGGCTGAAAGTGTGATTAAGGAACAGCTGGACCCTCAGATTGGCTTCCCGACCTGTACCGCCAGGCAGCTCCCTCATGGCGCAGCAGAAGCTGGAGGGGCTCCCTCTCTGGGGAGACAGAACCAGGCGGCCTGTGGAGCTGCTGGGCTGAAAACGGAGGGTTAATTAAAAGTCTAAACACTGAACTTTGAGACTCCTCAACTCAGCTTTGCAGGCATCCAAGCAGAAAGTGGAAGACTGTTCCTTAGAAAAATTGAAGGTCCTCGGGGGGAAATGATAATTTGATGTCACCTAAGGAAATGGCCAGTCCCTGCTTGGCCACTCTATAATGAAACTCATCCTTTGAGAAATTACGGCTTGTCACAGGACTTCCCAAGGGACAAACATGAAGGGTCAGACGTTTTCAGAAGGCCTTTGGCATGGAAGACAGAGAACAAACACCGAGATACGTAAGGAATCACAAAGGAACTCCTTTGCTTCCAACATGACTGCTGAGCTCCTGCCAGACCAGACCCTCCCACAGATAAAAACTATGAAGCTGGAAAAGTAAAAATAAATATATACCCAAGGACACTGGAAAGTGGGCAAAAGCAAGAAGATTCTGGGGGACCCTGAAACTCGGACGAGGTAATGGCATGAGGTGAGTAATCTGTTGACAGCTTTCAGCCTTAGGGCTGGGTGAAGTCGGAACCGCAGAACAGCCAAAACCCCAAGAGAAGCCCGATGTTTCTGGCCTGAGGAACCACAGAACAGAGTCTGGGGTAAACACAGCCGCTGAAAGCGAAAAGGGAATCTTGGGAGAGAGAGATCCAGAGAAGGGAAACCCCAGGTTCTGTGTATAAACTCCAGCCTAGGGTCTGGCCGACTCCTGAGCCATCGATGTCGGGGGCTGACTGCACAGCTCAACCAAAGGCAAGGGACTGAACTGAAACGTGAGCTGCCTCCCAAGAGACAGAAGTCACAATTTGAGTCTAAGCAAAGTAGCTGCCCAATAAAACAAAAATATATACACTCTTCAGAGGAATATAAAAGAATCCCGACATTCACAGTGTCCAGGGTACAGTTCAGAATTACTCCACAAACAAGGAACCAGGAAAACATGGCCTCGCCTCCGGAGAGAGAACAATCAATGGACATGAACCCAGAGACGATCCAGATGTTCATCAGCAGACGAGGACTTTAAAGCAGCTATTACAACTAAGCTTAATGGAGCAGAGAAAAACGTGTTTGCAAAGAACCAAAAAATACAAAATCTCAGCAAAGAAACAGAAACCATAAAAAAGAACTAAATGGAAATTCTAGAGATGAAAAACATTCTATCAATAAAAAAGATCACTGGGTGGTATAACAGCAGAACTTGAACATAGATCCATAGATACCATCCAACCTAAAGAACAGAGTGGAAAATTTTAATTAAAAAAGAGAGAGAGAGGGGCTGGCCCCGTGGCCGAGCGGTTGGGTTCGCGCGCTCCGCTGCAGGCGGCCCAGTGTTTCGTTGGTTCGAATCCTGGGCGCGGACACGACACTGCTCATCAAGCCACGCTGGGGCAGCGTCCCACATGCCACAACTAGAAGGACCCACAACAAAGAATATACAACTATGTACCAGGGGGCTTTGGGGAGAAAAAGGAAAAAATAAAATCTTTAAAAAAAAGAAAAAAAAAAGAGAGAGAGAGAAAGAGATTCATGAACCTGTGGAAAGGATGGAGCAGAAAAATAGTTAAAAATGTAATGGCCAAAAATTTCCCAAATTTGGTAAAAAACATAACTTTAAAAGTTCAAGAAGCTCAGCAAATCCCAAGCAATATAGATATAGAGAAAACCACACCTAAGTCATTAGAGTCAAATCACTGCAAACCAAAAATAAACAGAAACTCTCCACAGTAGTCAGAGAGAAGCAAAATATTACTTGTAGTGTAACAGTGATTCAAATGAGCACTGACTTCTCGTCAAAATTTCCACAGGCGAGAGACAGCACAGCAATATCTTTAAAGTGCTAGAGAAAAACAAAACTGACAATCCAGAATTTTATATCCAAGGAGAATATCCTTCAAGAATGAAAGCAAAATAAGGACATTTTCAAATAAAAAAAATTAAGTGAATCTGTGAACAGACATGCATAAGAAAATGTGTTAAAAACATCATTCAGGCTAAAGGGAAATGATACCAGATGGGAACTTGAAACTTTAGGAAGAAATGAAGAGAATAAAAAATGGTACCTATCTGAACACAAATCGCTTCTTCTCTGAATTTCTTTATACACAGGACTGTTTAAAGCAAAAATATTGACATTGTCTTGTAGAGTATATAACATATAACACATGTAGGTGTAATATGACAACTATAGCTTAGAGGATGGGAGTGGGGGATAGATGGAATCATACAGTTGAAGATTTCTATATTTTATGCTAAGCGGTACAATATTAATTCATTAACTATGAGTTGATTGTAAAAAGTTAAATAATGCAAAGAAGTATAGCTGAAGTCAACAGATAAAATGGAATTCTAAACTTATTCGAATATTACAAAATAAACCAGAAAAAGAGTTACAGGGGAATAAGAAATAGAAGAGACAAAAAGAAGACAAATAATACAATGGCAGAATTAAATACAACGTCAATAATTACTTTAAATGTAAGTGGACTAAACACTCCAGTTAAAAGGCAGAGATTGTAAGAATAGATTTTTAAAAAGCAAAACCCAATCGTATGTTGTCTGCAAGAAGCACTTCAGGGGCCGGCCCTGTGGCTGAGTGGTTAAGTTCACATGTTCTGCTTCGGTGGCCCGGGGTTCGCTGGTTTGGATCCTGGGCGCGGACACGGCACCGCTCATCAGGCCACATTGAGGCGGCGTCCCACGTGCCACAACTAGAAGGACCTGTGGCTAAGATATACAACTATGTATGGGAGGGATTTGGGGAGATAAAGCAGAAAAAAAAACCACTTTAAATATAAAGGCTCAGATAAGTTGAAAGTTAACACAGGGAAGAAAATGTGTAAGAGAGGCAGAGTGATTTCACAAATAATAACTAAAATAGACTTCAAAATAAAGAGCATTACTAAAAGTAAAGAGGCTTGTTCCGTAATAATAAAAGTTCTTTCATTAAGAAGGCAAGCAATCCTGATTGTTTACATATTTAACAATAGAAGTCCAAAATACATGAAGCAAAAATTGACAGAATCGAAAGGAGAAATAAATAACCGCACATTCATAGTTGGAGATTTTAACATCCCTTCTCATCAATCAATAGAGCAAAATAGAATAAATCAATAGAAAAAAGAAGTCAGTGATGGCATAGATCATAGAGGAATGTCTTTAAGAAGAAAAGGCACTAAGGTGCTTTAACACTGAGGGAAACTCTGCAGTTCCCTTCAGAGAATCTGAGGGAAGAATTAGTGATGAGGAAACTCGAAGCCAAGAAAATCACGAAAGCAAGGTCATGATTCAAGACAAACAATAATTTCAAGAAAGAAAATATAATCATAGTAAATTATTATGTGAACTCATAGTGATGATAATGTAAGCCCTGGATACTGACCTCACCAAAAATTTCTGCACAACTTTATGGTATTGGGAGGCTGGGGGTAGCCCATGTGGTATAAGAAAGTCAAATCCTCGCAGAAGATGGTATTAAGTTCTTAAAGTGTATAAAGCAAGAACAGTAACACAAAACCTCACTTAGATAGAAGGTGGTAGACACAGCTAAAAGAGCCGAAAGGGACCCGCCTCGGGGAGAGCAGCTCAGGGACGCGGGGGGAGCGGGCAGAGCAAGGCGGGTTTTCGTCGTAAGCCGCGTGTACAGCACCGTTTGACTTCCTAAATTCTGCACATGCACCTCTCCCAGAAACCCACAGATTAAATTTTGTCATTGACTCCGTGATCTCACGATTCCACATTCAAGGTTCTAGGCCATTGTTCAGTTACCTTAACATTAGCAGCACCACCGAGCTCAATAATGTTAATAAAATCTGAAACCACAAGTAAATGATCAATTCCCCCCAAAAGCATGGCCTGGCATGTTACCAACAGCAGCGCACGCTCCATCCGGCAGTCCCCGGCGGAGGACCGAAGGGCCTTGTGCTGAGTGGCAGCACTATGCGTTGGTGGCTTTAAAACGAAGATTTTAAATTTTTAAGTGT